TAGATAGATAGATAGATAGATAGATAGATAGATAGATAGATAGATAGATAGATAGATAGATAAATAAATAAATAAGCAAGCTGAAATTTCTCTTTTATCCCTACAGTTTTTTCCCCCCACTTTCACTCTGTTGTTGAGATTTTTGCTTTCAGGCTGGATTTCTAATTTCCAGTAAAATATAGTAAATTTCTCAATCAGATGGTAAATTAGCTTCATTTATTAACTTTTTGTATTTTTTAAATATATTTTTAACCCATGTCAGCGCTGTGGGGTCTAAGGAAACGAATGAATTTGTCCTAAAATCACAAATTGAAGAATCTTAAAACGCGCAGCGGGTTGTTTCCGGTGCTCTGAACGCAGCGGCTTCCGTAGCGTCACTCAGCGTCTGGTTGCCATAGAGACAAACTGGCTTAAACCTAAAGGGGAAGAAAAACAACGACTCAGGTGAGTTTTTCTTAGTTTCGGTGGTATTATTTATTTAACCGGGTCGTATTTTTAATCCAACTTTATTTGAATAACAAACATCACAAACACTGAAGAGCGACACTTTGTTTACAATCAAAACAGTGAAATAAGTAATAAATCATGTTAGTCAGAAGGGCTGCTAACATTAAGACCTGTTATTTTTCAAAGGAATAATTATCGCCCTCTGTCTGCCGCACAGGAGATTTAAATGAGATAATATGTTGATCAGAAATCACCGAGTTGTTGTTGTTGTTGTGTTGTTGTTGTTGTTGTTGTGTAAACCTTCAAAATAACATTATTATTGTGATCTCGCGAGATCTCACCCTCTGATTGCGTTTAATACTTGTTACAAAGGCAGAGATCAGAATCAGCTGCTGCCTTCATCACCTTCATCTCCTCCTCATCCTCAGAATGAAAGAAAGCATGACGTCACCACGATTGGGCGTGGTCAGAGAGTCCATGCGGAAAGACCCGCTGCTCATCAAGGTGAGTGACACCTGAAGGCATCAGGTCCTGATTGGACCCAGTCAGAGAGTCAGTTCATCTGATCAGAACCAGAACCAGAACCAGAACCAGAAACATCAAACACAAAAGAGCTGAAAATTCATGTTTTCAAAATGAACAGTACAGTAGCTAAAAGCTAAAATCAATAGCTAGAAGTTAGGAACAGTAGCTAAAAGCTAAAATCAATAGCTAGAAGTTAGGAAAAGTAGCTAAAAGCTAAAATCAATGGCTAGAAGTTAGCAGAACAGTAGCTAAAAGCTAAAATCAATAGCTAGAAGTTAGGAAAAGTAGCTAAAAGCTAAAATCAAAGGCTAGAAGTTAGCAGAACAGTAGCTAAAAGCTAAAATCAATAGCTAGAAGTTAGGAAAAGTAGCTAAAAGCTAAAATCAATAGCTAGAAGTTAGCAGAACAGTAGCTGAAAGCTAAAATCAATAGCTAGAAGTTAGGAGAACAGTAGCTAAAAGCTAAAACCAATAGATAGAAGCTAGGAACAGTAGCTAAAAGCTAAAATCAATAGCTAGAAGTTAGGAAGAGCAGAACAGTAGCTAAAAGCTAAAATGAATAGCTAGAAGTCAGGAACAACAAAACGGTAGCTAAAAGCTAAAATCAATAGCTAGAAGTTAGGAACAGTAGCTAAAAGCTAAAATCAACAGCTAGAAGTAAAGAGTAGCAGAACAGTAGCTAAAAGCTAAAATCAACAGCTGGAAGTTAGGAGCAGCAGAACAGTAGCTAAAAGCTAAAATCAACAGCTGGAAGTTAGGAGCAGCAGAACATTAGCTAAAAGCTAAAATCAATAGCTAGAAGTTAGAAACCGTAGCTAAAAACTAAAATCAATAGCTAGAAGTTAGGAGCAGCAGAACAGTAGCTAAAAGCTAAAATCAACAGCTGGAAGTTAGGAGCAGCAGAACAGTAGCTAAAAGCTAAAATCAACAGCTGGAAGTTAGGAGCAGCAGAACAGTAGCTAAAAGCTAAAATCAATAGCTAAAAGTTAGAAACAGTAGCTAAAAACTAAACTCAATAGCTAGAAGATAGGAGCAGCAGAACAGTAACTAGAAGCTAACATCAGCTGAACAGTAGCCTTGAGTTAAAAGTAACAAACAGAACAGTAGCTGGAAGCTAAGTGCAGCAGAAAAGATAAAGCTACATTTATAAAAACTATATTAAAATTCGAAAAAATTAACTGAAATTAACAAGACATGCTAATTTCAGAAAAATGTAGATCAGACCCAAAAGTAGCAAAACAGTAGCTAAAAGTTAAAAGTGCCAGCAGGTAGCTCAGTATATTAGCACTAACACTAAAAGCTAAAAGTAGCGTAGATCTTTTAGATGAAACAGATTTTTAAAAGTAGTTTTTGTAAGGAACTAAAAACATTATACTATGATAAAATGCTGACTCATCGTTAGCTTCGAACATTCAGCTGTTGAAGAGGATGAGGAGGATGGTTCTTCATCCTATCCTCTGTCCAGGCTCCGCTCGGGAAGGCCCGGACCAGAGGCCTGACCCTACCTGGTCCAGATTTCACCTACGGAACCAGCATCAACTCTGTCAGCAACGGAGGCGTGGCTCAGGGTAAGCTCCGCCCACCACAACCAACAAAAACAACAATAAACAACAAGATTTACACCAGATCACAGCTAAAGACGGAGAACATTCAGCTGATAACAGCCGAAGACCAGATAATATTACCTCTTTATATTATTATTATAGATGAGAGGCTGTGTGTGTGTGTGTGTGTGTGTGT